GGGGGGGGGAGCGGGGCGGCCTGCGGGCCGCGGAGCCTTGTCCGGGGGGGCTCCTGGCGCCTCGTCGCCTCACGTCATCGTGTCGTCGCCTCACGTCATCGTGTCGTCGTGTTGTTGCCCCGTGTCGTCACATCGCAACGTTGCACCACGTCACGTTGTTGCCTCGTGTGGCTGCGTCGTGTCACCTCGTCCTCGCGGCGTCGTGTCGCGTTGCCAGGCTGCGGTGCCGTGTCGCGGCGTCGCGCCGCGTTGCCTGGCCCTGTCACCACATCGCATCACCGTGTCACCACGTCACGTCACCGCGTCACGCGGTTACCTCACGCCGCCATGTCGCGCCGTCGCGTGCCGTCGTGTCGCAGCGCCCTGCCGCCTCGTGGCACGTGGGGCCCTTCTGCCTCCCTCCATGGAAAGGCAGAGCCAAGAGGAAGGAGACGTCTGGCACCAACCCGACCCATGGAGACACCCCGCAAACCCTGCGCCCGGCGCTGCTGCCTCCGCTCTGCAGCTCCCGCTGCCCCTGCCCGCAGCTCGGGCCCTTGTTTCCCTCCACTTGGGCTGGTCTGTATTTGACGCTCAATGATGGCCCGTTTTGTTTTCAGAGCTTTGCTTTCCAAGCAAGATTTTCCCTGCAGTTGTTTTCTCTCTGAGAAACATTTTATGATGCAAAGTACTCATAATTAAAGGAGATCGAAGTATCCAAAGAAAGTAAAACTGCATGCCAGTCTGTATATGCAGACTTGATGCTCAGTAATACTCCTTTTTTTATGAATCACTATTGTTTTGCTATATTTTCTGATATATTATTCTGATATATTCACCTGAAAGCTGCTGCTAGTTTTGCTCTAAATCAGCTGCTTCAATAGTCCCCCTTCCCCTAAGAAAACACTGTATTATTTTATTAGCTAATGTGAATTGTTGAAGCGTTAAGTGTCCCACGCTATTGAATGAAATTTTGATTTAGTGACCTTCTTTATTATACTCTAAGGAAAGTACTGGCTGGAAATCTTAACAGACTGAATACAGGAACAGAAATCCTTGGCTCTTTCTTCCCAGAAATTGGCTTCAGATTAAACTCTCGGTGTTTGGATGCTGCTTTCCACAGCTGAGGGAAGATATGTTGACAGGACGTATCCCAGTAGATGCCATATGGTTCTTCTGATTGCTTAAATGAATGGAATTGCTTAAATTCAATTGGGACAGATCTGTTAGTCTAATCTGTAACCACAAAAGGGGATGATCATATGCAGAGGTTTAGAGCAAAGCATCTCTAGAAGTTCTTATGTTAGCGCAAAAAAAAAAAGTTGTTTCTTAATTAAATCCAAAGAATAAAGTCCTAAACTGAGTTTTTGTTTGTTTGTTTGTTTTTCCTTCAGATTAAAACTTGAGGAAGCCAAAGAAGTTCAGAGTCTCAGGAAACGACCCAATGGGGTTAGGTAAGGGCTATAGCACCGAGCAGGTGAATTTATGTTTTGTCTAGCAGTGTAATGCGACAGTAAACTTCTCTATTGTCATCTGCTTTCTTCTGGCAGAAATACCTACATGCCCAATAGCACCAAAAGTGTTTGAGATGGTTAGATTTAGAGAAAAGTAAAGAAACACAGTAATGTTGTTTTCTTCTACTGATTTTTATTTACCTCTGTATCTGGTTGACTAGTGCTGCAGCTCTGCTTGTGGGGGAGAAGCTGCAAGAAGAAGCAACACTGGTGGTAAGTTTGGTGATTTTTCATCAGCCCAGTTTCACTTAGTGTTGTAAAAACATCCATGTGTTCCAGTGGAGCCCTGTGAGAGTCCAGCTGGGACTAGAAATAATGTCAGATCTTAAAACCTGTACGTTTTCTGTGTTTTTATCTTGATTTATGAAGACTAGCATAAAACTAGAGGAAAGCTTCAAGACTTTTCATTTCGTGTTTTACAGGATGACCCATTTAAGATAAAATCTGGTGGGATGGTGGACATGAAGAAGCTGAAAGAACGGGGCAAGGACAAGTGGGTTTATATGAGCTCTGAAAATCTATTGTAGACTAGTCACTAATCACAGCTATTAGTGAATTAACCAAATGATGTGTTGTTTTGAAGAATAATATTGCTATATCAATTACATAATTATAATAATAATGTATTATATTGTTCAATTATGTTTATTATATCTTGTTATTAATTATGATATTATTATATTAATATAATGCAACTTGGCTAGTTACCCTAATTGCAACATGTCAAATTTAAAAACAGCTGTAACATTGTGATTTCCATTTAGGATTAATGAAGAGGAAGACCTAAACTTGGGAACTTCCTTCTCAGCAGAAACCAACAGGCGGGATGAAGATGCTGACATGTGAGTTCTGCTGCATTTTGCCTGAGATGTCGAATTCAAGGCTGGATGTCCTCTCACAGTTTTGTTTTATTATTTTGTTGGGTTTTTTTCCTGTCCTGGGTGCTCGGAGTTTCCAAAACAACTTCTCCATTCTTCTAGAAACTTTTGTTTGCTGTTTTGCTTTCTGTCTGCCAGACTGGAGAAGGCAGTTTCGTGAACAAAGCTGGGAGGTGCCAACCAGCTGGCTAGTGTGGTGGCATTTCTTAGCAGTGTCGCTCTTCCCTGCTGGTCATGAAGGACCTTGGAGGATCTGATCATTTCTTGGACATGATCTTGGACATGTTTTACTTTTTGCAGTTATATTAGCCGAGTGGTTTTGGAGGGATTGTTCATTCCTCTCTGCTCACCACTGGGATGGTGCTGCAGCTGCACTCAGCGGTGTTGGAACCAAATACACAACATAACTAAATACCACATGTCCCTTGTGTGCCGGTATTCAGGATGAAGTACATTGAGACTGAGCTGAAGAAGAGGAAGGGGATTGTGGAAAACGAGGAACAGAAGGTGAAGCTTAAGAACGCCGAGGACTCTCTGTATGAGCTGCCAGAGAACATCCGCGTCTCCTCTGCCAAGAAGACTGAAGAGATGCTGTCCAACCA